TAGGGCAATGCCAAGTACAAAGACTGATTGGAGAATGGCTTGAAAGCAGCCCTGAGGAGAAGGATTTGAGAGTATCAGTTGATAAAAGACTCAACATTAGCTGGCAATGTGTGCTTGCAACCCAGAAGGCCAACTGTATCCTGGGTTGCATCAATTAAAACGTGACCAGCAGGTCAAGGGAAATGCTTCTGCCCCTTTACTCTGTCTTGTGAGACCTTGCCTGGAGTACTGCATTCTTTGCTGGAGCCCCCAACACAAAAAAAGACATGAAATAGTTGGAACAGGTCCAGAGGAGGGCCACAAAAGATGATCAGAGGACTGGAGCACCTCTGCTATGATACCACACCGAGAGAGTTGAGCCTTTTCAGCTTGGAGAAGTCTCCTGCAGGACCTTATAGCAGCCTTCCAGTATCTGAAGGAGGCCTACAAGAAAACTGTGGTGAGACTTGAAATAATGCTACATAGTGACAGGACAAGGGGAGAAGATTATAACCTGAAAAAGAGTAGAATTAAACTAGATATAAGGAAGAAATTCTTTACTGTGAGGGTAGTGAGACACTTGAACAGGTTGCCCAGAGAGGCTCTTGATGTTCCAGTCCTGGCCTCCATCCAGGCCTGGCTGGATGGAGCTTTGAGCAACCTGGTCTAGAGGGAGGTGTTCCTGCCTATAGCAGGGGGGTTGGAACTAGATGATCTTAAAGGTCTCTTCCAACCCAAACCATTCTATGATTCTATGAAAGCAATTGGGAAAAGGTACACAAGCTTTCACCCTGCAGAGATGACTTTTATCAGCCGTGAAAGGAAGATGTCCCTTCAGAGAAGACCTGATACTTTACCTAGGCAAGTGAATCACCGGGATAAAGTTATTCAGCACATAATGGAATTGGCTGTGTCGGAGGTATGTATGACCTCAAGGGTGATCGGTTATCCCAAGATACAGACAACACCAAGTTCCAAGATCTGTATGGTAGAAATTTGTACAGAGCACACCATCTTGTATGCAAGCAGCGGCAGTAGTGGTTTGGAAAGATAATGAAAATCCAGCAATAGATGAAGTGGCTAGTCTACTTTGGCAATATGAAGGAAATCTCCCTTTCTCATCTGTAGAGAAACAGACCTGGGAACTCCAGCAATTCAGAGAAGTATCTCTTATTCCCTATCTATATGGTATCCAGTATCGCAGCCATTAGAATTAAGCATTCCTGTTCTCAAGGGAGAGGATATAGTGGGTATATACCGCATGCCACCTTCTAGTTTTACCTGCATGACTATGGAAAGGATATGAGAAAGTGGGATATCAAATCCACCTTGACCCTAGAGGCAGGTATACAAGAGTTGTGAGGAAGAGCAGTTCAAATAGGGGATTCTTCAAGGAAAATGGCTGCTCTAATTTCCAGTGCACAGTCTCCTAGACAAAGAAGGTGATTTGATCCTATTTCTGAGTTGGGTAACAAGTCTTTGGTTTGCATTCATGAATACAATAACCAGAACCAGAGGGGCCCTATTTTCTAGTCATGTGGAGGAACGGGATAATCGGGTTTATTGGAATGTATGGATTTTATGGCCTGGCATATTAGAAGCATGGGAGTATAAGACTTTAGTGGATGCTAGTGCAGTTTACTCTAATGCCATCAAGTTATAAGGGAGTAGAACCCATCTGTATTTCTGGAGTAACAGGATCTCAAGCACTAAGTGCATTGGAGGCTGAAATAAGCCTAACTGGGAATGAGTGGCAAAAGCACCCCATTTTGTCCAGCTCAGAGACTGCATGCATCCTTGATACAGATTACCTCAGAGTAGGATACTTCAGGAATCCAAAAGGATACTGTTGGCCTTCAGTATGTAGTTCTTGCAGATGGAGGACATTTATTAGCTGTTCTTGACTTGCCCAGTCTTTCAGAGGATACTTTGCCTAGGGATTGTGAGAAGCAGGTGCAAGTTGTTACAGTGACAGTGCACTGATGGCAGTGTTGCACCGACTGGGACTGATTCCCATCAGTATGCTGATTCATCAACTGGAGAGACAAAGAGTAATCAGAGCTCACCTTTAACAATACTGTATGGCCAGTGCGAAAGTCCAGTGGAGAGTGAGGCTAACAATGGACTATCATGGCCTGAATGAAGTCACACCACCATTAAGTGCTTCTGTGCCAGGCATGTTAGAACTTCAGTATGAACTGGAGCTAAAGGCAAGTAAGTAGTATTCTATAATTGATATCGCCTATGCATTTTTCTCAATCCCTTTGGCAGCAGAATGCAGGGCACAGTTTTGTTTCAATTGGAGGGGCATCTAGTGCCTGGAGTCGACTACCTCAGGGGTGGAAACAGAGTTGCTATGGTCTGATCCAGATTGCACTGGAACAGGGTAAGTTCCTGAACACCTGCAGTATGTTGATGACATCATAGTGTGGGGCAACACAGCAGAAGTTTTGAGAAAATAAACCAAATCCTTCCAAAGCTGGTTTTGACATGAAGCAAAGTAAGGGACCTGCACAGGAAACCCAGTTCTTAGGAATAAAATGGCAAGATAGATGTAATCAGATCCCTATGGATTTGATCAACAAAATAACTTAATCCACACCAACTAGAAAAAGGGAAACACAAGCTTTCCTAGGTGTTGTGGGTTTTTGGAAAATGTATATTCTGGATTACAGTTTGACTGTAAATCGTCTCTTTCAAGTGACCCAGACGAAGAATGATTTTACATGAAGTCCTGAGCTACAACAAGCCTTTGAACAAATTTAACAGGAGGTAGTTCATGCTGCAGCCATTGGACCGCTCCAGACAGGACAAGATGTAAAAAATGTGCACTACACTGCAGCTGGGGAGAATGGCCCCACTTGTAGCCTCTGGCAGAAATCACGAGGGGAGACTCAAGTTTGATCCCTAAAGGTTTCAAAGTCAGCGATAGAGGATCCAAATCCTGTTACAGTGAACACAAAAAACACACTGAGCAATACAGTCTGGGTTATTTCTGCACTGGGGAAAGGCATGGTTGTCCAACCTTTTGGCTTGCATGGACTGCAGTGAGTGAAGAGGAATCATCTTGAGCCTCATATACGATATTGTTAAAGTATATACCTGACAAACCTTTTTTTATTTATTTGTATTTTTATGGAAGCATTTAAAACTAGAGCAACTAAAACATAAAACTAGTCAGATATTTAACTGTGTTTTTGTGAAACTAATGCATCTGGTTCATTGGAAGTATTTCAGTTCTTAGTGAGTTCTCCAGGTATTTTTCTTATTAGAGATTTTTTGATGAAATTCTTCTCTCCCTGTCCTTCACCCTTGAAAACAGTTTAGTAGGGGACATTTTTCTCTGATCACATAGGTCTTATAAAAGTCTAGTAGAGAAAGATGATCAGATTTTTCATTGAGTTGAATCTCTGATTGCTGTCCTATATGTTCAGTTTGAAAATTCAGAAGTAATGTATTTATGTCACCTGAAAGTGGGGTGGTTGGCAGGAAAGAGCTGCTGCCACAAAGGCGTGGATCAGGGGCTGGATCATAGTATGAGCAGGGACAAGCCACATGTGGCCCATGGGCTACGAGTGTCTTGGGCATGTCTGGGCAAGCGCACACATGGTCCTGGATTCACTTGTGGGTTATGTGTAAGGATGGTGAAATCTGATATGTACCTTAAAGGAATTTGATGTTTGTTGAGAAGAGCCAGCAACCAGTAGTAGTACAGTAAGAATCAACTAAATCGAAGAAAAATGGATTCTAACCCTTTTCTCAAAACCATAACTGGCTTCAGCATGCAATAATTCAGCACCATGCATCATCTGTCGTGCCCTGAAGGACTGTTACGATAGATGGAGCCCAAAGTCAGGGACTAAATGAACAACTCAGAGGGCTTGCCCATAGATTACTGGAATGATTCCCATGTGATTAATCAGGATGTATGGGAAAGTGTTGGACCTGAGCATGATGTGAATTTTACAGAATAAGGGTGGATGTTGTTGTGGTTTCTGATGAGAATGTATTAATAGCACATCAGTATGCTATTGTTTCTGAGTGATTGGAGTGTGCGGAAGACTTGACCAGACCACTCAGTGGAACAGCAGCTGCCATTATGGCATGGCACCAGGCAACAAGGCTGCTAGCTTGAGTTAGGCAAGAGATTATTCCATTCCATGTGACGTTATGCAGAAAGGCTATCAAACTGTAAGGAATTGTTTGGGGGTGGGCTGCTGCTTAGGGTTTGGCTGGACATTGGTCAGTGGGCTGTGAGACGTTGCATTGCAAGCTGGCTGTTGGTTGGTGGGCATTTGTTTTGTTAGCTGGGCATCAATTGGCAGGTGAGTAATTACGTTGTGGATAAGTGTGTGTGTACTGGCGGATTTTAAAAACAGATAACTGAAACTGATGAGGGAGGAGGGGTAAGTTTTTCATGTTTCTTACCAACTTATTATTTGAAAAGATGATGCTGCTCATTGGTAAGTGTGAAATGCTGATGAGTGTCTAATGAAGTATTCACATTTCAGACACTGTAAACCACATGCAAGTGTTTTTGCCTTTTTGAAGGCAAAAGAAAAATTAATGTTTCTGTACATTAGAAAAAGAATTATATCAGGTATTGCTGTTCTGAGGAAGCCAAATCTAATAATAAAAGTGTTAAAATGGGTTAATAAAATAGTCAGTAAATAAAATTCCCACAACGTTGTAAAGTTATAGTTGTGGTTTTTTTCACTAACAGTCATTCAGAAGTCTAGCCATCCACAAGTGCATCAAGAAACCAGAAAAATCAGAGAAACAAAACAACAGAAAAAAACCATAAAGAACTATTCAGAATTTTACTAGAGTAAATTTAATAAATAAACTAAGTTTAACTTTTGGAAAAGCTTGCATTTTGAGTACATATATAATAAAAAATCCAAGAGATGTATGCTTTTTCATGAAAGATAGAAAAAATGAGGAAAATAGTTGTCATTTCCTCTCTTAATTAATATTATGTGCTTATATTGTATATAATCTTTCCTCTTTTTTTTGTATAGGAAAAGCATAAGCAGGAGTTAGAAGATATGAGAAAAGCTGGACATGAAGCCTTGAGTATTATTGTTGAAGAGTTCAAGGTAAATGAGTTAAGATGGCACATTTTCCATTGTCATATTATATAATAAATACGCATTACAGATGGTCTTGTTTATTACTTACTTTTGGTTGCTCAGCCTCTTTTTGTTGGTTGCTTCCAGTTTAGACTGGAAGTTTGGCCTGAAATTGTACATAGCGTGTTTTCTCTCCCTGCATTTCAGTTAAAGGGGAAACTTCAGATAAAATACGTTAGCCATTTTCATTAGTGAAAATTAAATCTGGAATGAAAGAAAAATGCTTAGTCAATTGTGTTAAACTTTGATTTTGATTTTTAGCGTGCATCTACGTTTTGGACCTCCTTGGCTATGACAAACTTCAAACTATCACCTCACAGGGCAATTGAGCAGGTTTTTTAAGTATTTTATTTATTTATGTTCACAGCACTAAGAGGAGGAGTTCGGGATAAAATAAGGTTCAATCTGTAACTCTTTTCATGTTGTTCCTATTTGCAGTGAGCCAGTAAGATACAGGAACACAACATTATTGTACAGGATCAATCTGTATCTTTTGTACTGCTATGAAAACATACTAATAAGAAATGCACAAAACTAAGGATTCTAATTAGACTTAATTGAGGTAAACAAGGTGTGACTGGAAAAAACTGATTGTAGGAAAAGGAAAATAGAGTTGTTGCTGGAAATGAGAAGGGAAATATGAGACAGCTGTCAGTAGGGAGCACCAATCTAGTAATGTCATTACTGAGATTTGGTTTGGAACTGGCAAAGCAAAAAAGGACGGGACTGAGACTATCATTTTATTCAGGTAGTAAACTGAAAGCTTAAGTGTAGATCCTGCTGGTCAAGAAACCTGCAGTGTTGCTGGGGAGGTTAGGCTGACTTGTTTGTTTTAAGGAAATATCAATCTCTTACTTTATAAAGTATTTATCTCTCTGGAAGTGTCAGGACCTGCAGCTTCAGGAGAGCCATCTGTACCAGCTTTCAAGTCTACTGCAAAATCTGAAACTAAATGCTATGCAAAAACTTTTTTTTGTTTAATTAGATTTTGTGGGCCTTGTAGTTTCTCTTCCTTATGTGTAGGTTAGGCTTAACAAGTTTCAATCTTGAGAAAGGACCACTGTGTAGGGTACCTGATGATGCTTTTAGGAATAACTGCTTGAAAGAGGTCTGGTGCTCTATGCTTTTCTGAAGCCTAATACATAGACATGTTTGCAACAACTTATAAAAAGTTTTCCTTTTAACATATTTGCTGTTAATTGATAGCAGTGTTCTAGTCAACACTGAAGCTGAACTATTTGAAAAAATGTGTCTGTTTTCTTTGATACAATTTATACTAATTTCATCAAAAGGGAACTTATTCTGAAAAAAGCTTCTGAAGTTTCCATTCCTAAGAGAAGCTAAGCATGTACAGTGATGTTGTACCACTTCCCCAGACATTTTTCATTTCACTTTAAGAGAAATGTTGCATTTCTTTTCCCTCTTACACTTCTGGGGTTTGCCTCACAATGGAATGACAAAATTGCAGGATGGCTGAGGTCAGCCATCTGAGAACTCTCTGTCCTGCTCCAACTCCTGCTTAAGCAGGGCCAACCAAAGCAGGGTGCCCAGGCATGTGTCCCAGCAACTTTTGAAGAGAGACTCTGTGGACAACCTGTGCCAGTGCTTCATCACCCACACAACACAGAAGTGCTTCCTGATGTTCAGAGGGAACCTTCTGTGCTCAAGTTTGTGCTCATTGCCTCTTGTCCTTGCACTGGGCACCACTGAAAAGAGCCTGGCTCTGTCTTTTTTGCACTCTCCCTTCAGGTATTTATAGACATCACTCAGAGCCTCAAGTCTTCTCCAGGCCGAATAGGCCCATCTCTGTCAGCCTTTTTTTATGGGAGGGAAGAATGAGCATGTTCTTCGGGCTGACTGCTTTGGATGGGTCAATGAACACGTGCCATATTCTCAGCATTTTTCATTTCTGTTTTGACTAGCTGTGTATAAAATCTGTTTCCATGTGGCCTTACAGTTTGAAAAAAAGAAATTGGTGATCTATTGGTATTTGCTACATTTATGTTTCTTCCTCTTTATTTCTGAAAATGTAAGCAAGTTGCGAAATGCATCTATTCTATTGTAGTGAATGAATAGATACCATTTTCCACCCTTTCAATGCCTCTGTGTGAGCTAAAGAAGAGTTTTGCATGGATGACAGGAAGAATTATTTAAGGAATATCTCTTCATGTTTAGCTGGGTAAAATGATACACAGACGTATAATTTTTTGAGAATTATTTTACAAGTCCAAAGCAACTGTGAAACTCTAATATACCATCTTGAAAAAAGGATTTAAATTTTTCAGTTTCTATGATTTGGCACAAAAGATTAGGTGTTTAATTCAATACAGTGATTCTTAGCAATGTTTAGCATGCTATTTCTCACAGACTGTTAGTCTTCAAGTTATATAAATATATTCTAATCATCATAGAATGGCCTGGGTTGAAAAGGACTGAAAGATCATCTAGTTTTAAGCCCCCTGGCATGGGCAGGGTCGCCAACCACTTGACCAAGCTCTCCAGAGCCTCATCCAGCCTGGGCTTGAATGCCTCCAGGGTTGGGGCTTTCACAACCTCCTCGGGCAACTTGTTCCAGTGCTTCACAACCCTCTGAGTGAAAAACTTCCTCCTAGTATCTAACCTAAATCTCTTCTGTCTCAGTTTAAAACCATTCCCCTTTGTTCTATCACTGTTCACTCTTATAACTGCCTTCACTTCATGTAGTGGAAGGCCACAATGAGCTCTTCCCTGAGCCTTCTCTTTTCCAAGCTAAACAAGCCCTATTTCCTCAACTTTTCCTCATAGGAAAAGTGCTTCAGCCCTGTAATCATCTTTGTGGCCCTCCTCTGGACTTGTTCCAAGAGCTCTGTGTCTCTCTTGTACTGGGGGCCCCAGGCCTAGATGCAGTACTCCAGATGGGGCCTCACAAGAGCCAAGTTGAGGGGGACAATCACTTCCCTCTCTCTGCTGGCCACCTCTTTTTTTAATGCAACCGAGAACACAGTTGGCCTTCGGGGCTGCAAGAGCACACTGCTGGCTTATGTCCAGCTTCTTGTCCACCAGGACTCCCTGGACCTTCTCTGCATGGCTGCTCTCAAGGAGTTCTTCCCTCAGTTTGTATAAACTTCTGGGATTGCCCCAGCCCAAGTGTAACACCTTGCTCTTGGCCTTGTGGAACCTCATTATGTTCACATTGGCCTACTTCTCCAGCCTGTCTAGGTCCCTCTGGATGGTTTCCCTTCCCTCCAGTATATCGACTGCACTGCTCAGCTTGGTGTCATCCGCAGACTTGCTGAGGGTGCACTCGATTCCATCATGTCGTTATAAAAATGTTGAAGAGCACTGGTCCCAAAACAGAGCCTTGGAGGACACTGCTTGTGACTGGCCTCCACCCTTACACAGAACCACTGATCACAACCCTTTGGATGCGACCAGCCAACCAATTCTTAATCCACTGAGCAGTCCATCCTTAAATCCATGCCTCTCCAATTTAGAGAGAAGGATGTGGTGAGGGACCATGTCAAAGGCTTTGCAGAAGTCCAGGTAGATGACATCCGTCGTCCTTCCCCTATCCACTGATGCCACCACTCCATCATAGATGGCCATCAGATTGGTCAGGCAAACATTCCCTTGGTGAAGCCATGCTGGCTGACTTGAATCATCTCTTTGTCTCGTATGTGCCTCAACATAGCTTCTAGGAGGATCTGTTCTATGATCTTCTCAGGCACAGAGGTGACACTCACCAGCCTATAGTTCCTGGGTCATCCTTTCTCCCTTTCTAAAAATGGGAGCAATGTTTCCCTTTCTTCAGTCACTGAGGACTTCACCGGACAGCCTTAAATTTTTCAAATATGGTGGATAGCAACTCAGCAGCCACATCAGCTATCTCGCTCAGAGCCCTAGGATGGATATCATTCAGACCCATGGACTTGCATACATTCAGATTCCTGAAGAGGTCTCGGACTTGTTCCACTGTTATAGTGGGATGGAATCTGCTCCTCTCACCCACATCTAGAGCTTCAGGGTCCTGGTGGATATGGGGAGGAGCCTGACCACTAGTGAAAACTGAAGCAAAGCACTTTTTGAGCACCTCAGCTTTTTCCATGTCTGAGAAAGCCAGCTCTCCGTCCTCATTTATCAGAGAGGGAACACTCTCCTTGATATGTCTCCTCCTGCTTATGTACCTGTAGAACCCCTTCTTGTTATTTTTCATGTCCCTTGCCAAGTTCAGCTTTATCTGTGCCTTGGCTTTCCTGATCTTATTTCTACACATGTGGATGATGTCCCTATATTCTTCCCAGGCTATGCAACCACTGTACATATCTCTGTTTTCCCTCACCTGAAGCTGCAGGTCCTTGCTTAGCCGCCGCCTCTGCTCAATTTCTTCTGCTTTGGGATGGAGAGCTCTTGTGATCTCTGGTGTGTCCTTAAAGAGATGCCAGCTCTGTTCTGTTCCTTTGCCCTCAAAGACACTTTCCTAGGAAATTCCATCCAGCAGTTCCTTGACCAGCCAGAAGTTTGCTCTCCTGAAGCACAGGGTTCTGATGCTACTTTTTGCCAGGCCTGCATTCCTCCAGATCGCCAACTCCTCCTGGGCATGATCACTGCAGCCCAGGCTGCCTCCAGTCTTAACTTCTCTGATGCTTTCCTCCACATTAGTGGGCACCAATGTGTATGCACCACTAAGGCTTCACCTTAGGTCTTTCCGTCTAATACCTGGGCCAGGAAGTAATCCTCACCAGACTCCAGGAATCTGGATTGTCTGCCACCCACTGTGCTGCTATCCCAGCAGATATCCAGTGGTTGATATCCCCCAGCAGGACAAGAGCCCACAAGTTTGACATCTCCCGCAGTTGAAGCGAAAAAGCTTCGTCAACAGGCTCTGCCTGATCAGGTGGCTTGTAGCAGACCCCAACCACTGGATGCCCTTTATTGGACCAGTCCCTCATTTTCACCCATAAACTCTCAACCTGTTCATGGCTCAGACA